TGGCTCCAAATTGCTCGTCTAGATGGATCTGGTGTAGAAATTGCTCCTCAGTAACTAGAAACAACACAAACATTGCGACTTACGTTGTACATGATATAACTAAAAAAGGCAGTTGTCGCCAACTACATGTACCCCCCATGTTCTCCCCAAGATGTGTAAGTATACAAAGTTTGGTCGCGCTAGGTCAATTAGGGGCCGAGTTATAGAGCGGAAGGGAAATATGATGAAGGTCAAGGTCAAGGTCAAAGTCAAATAAAGGTTGCAGTGACCTGGTTTCGGTACGCGACACACCTTCTCCCCAAGATGTGTAAGTATACCAAGTTTGGTCGCGCTAGGTCATTTAGGGGCCGAGTTAGAGCGCAAGGTCAAGGTAAAGGTCAAATAAAGGTCGCAGTGACCTGGTTTTGGTACTCTGCACACCTTCTCCCCAAGATGTGTAAGTATACCAAGTTTGGTCATGCTAGGTCAATTAGGGGTCGAGTTATAGAGCGGAAGGGAAATTCTCTGCGGCGGACCGAGCGGCGGCTGGGGAGACATGAAACCATAGTATCCCCGCCGACTTCGTCGCGGGAGATACAATTACAGTGAAACTCCGTTATAACGCAATAATTTGGGTAACAAAACTTGATTGCATATAATGCAGGGTTTTCGAGTTGTAGTAGCGGGGTAATTAAAAAGCTTAATGTTAGGTAGATCGTAGATAGGTTTGTGAACAAAACTGATTTTTATGACTAGAAAATTCACATTATTACAGGGTGCATGACAGTGGGGTTCTACAGTACAACAGATATTGCATATTGTACATGATAACAAGCATCGCGTACTGTGACCTTGCTTTTAACGTTATATTGTCAAGATGAGTACATCGACCCCCCCTGGCTATGCCACCTATGCGTGACAGGATTGCTGTGTACTTACATCCTGCACAATCATTCTGTACCAGGCACCTGTATCGTTCATAGTTCAACCAGCTGTTTTCCCCCTGCTCGTCCTCCGAAACCTCCCTGCGGCGAAAAAACAAGCGAACGTCCTAGAAACGAGATCGCGACCGATACACGAGAATGCACGTCGTACGTGCGGCAGAATTTAATGGAACGTGAGCAGATGTGGGAGCGTAAACTTATACGGAAAAAAATTCCATCAATTTTATGAGCAAGTTTACCCACTTTTCCCTGCACCGGAAAACAATTTCATCATGATCAAAGTAACAATAGTAAGTAACAAGTAAACAAATTTCAAAATCCCTGAATGATATATCATCACACACTATTACGTTTTCGCACACGTTACTATCAAATTAGGTATCCAATGATCACTTTTGATTATATCTAATAGTACTGATGAATGGAACGCACTCAGCAGAGGACTCTGTTGACTTGTGCTCCATGATGAGGTCGAGGTGGGCACGCACGTCAAACCTGTCAATCATGTTGCTGGTATCTCCCTGCCACGGCATCCTGAAACATTCAATATCATTCAGTCATTCATTCCCCCACATACCCACTCATTCATTTATTCATTCTGTCACCCACGTAGCCATTCATTCTTTCATTCATTCACACATGTAGCCATTCATTCTTTCATTCATTCACCCACGTACCCATTCATTCTTTCATTTACTCATTCACCCATGTACCCATTCTTTCATTCATTCTTTCTTTCATTGCCCAAGATTTAATGAACAGCTACACAAACCAATACAGAAAGCTTTTAAAAAGATAATTGTACAAATGAATAAGTAAGATTTAGACAGTACATAACAAGCTTGGAAAAGGTCTGAAAACCCTAATTTTACCATTTTTGATTTCTACCATATAATGTATGGAAAATTCCATACAAATTATACTGTCTTACTCAGAAGTTGCCAGTCCCGGACTGTGGCACAGACTGCCATTTCCAACGCTGCACACACACACATAATCGCTAAACATAATCGCACGAATGATAAGAAAGATTTAGATGGCTCGTACATGGTGGAGGGATTTTCGGCTGCCTGGGCGATGGCCGGATCGAGGTGAATCTTGGATCGCCTCCCATGAATCTGCAGGAACTGTGCTGGATCTGCCTTCTACACACATCACACAAACATGGATGCAGTTAATCGATGATCACAACAAAACCTCGAGCGCACAGATTACGCGCGGCGACAACGAACATGTGCACACAACGTAGGTTACCTAAGTAGAAAACAACACTTATAATATAAGTGATCACCACTAAAGAACAACAGCTGGGGACACGAGTGTTCACCTATGAAGAACACCTCGCAGGATGTTAGGATAGTTCACTCCTAGAGAACAATGCATCTGATGTGACTATTCACCCGGATAGAATAACAGCTTACAAACAGACGTTAATAATCAAACAGCGCAATCATCACTCATGAGTGGAGGGCGCCACTTACTATTTTGTCGTAGTATTCGCGCCGCCGTTCCGCCCGCCGCCGATGGTCGATCATGATCCCCTTCAGCTTCCGCTCAAACTTTCTCGCTTCATGCCACATCTTGCCTGCAAAACTCTCGTGTTGCTCCCGCTAAAGTAAAATAAAGAACCAGTGTTCGTTAGACGGTGAGAGAGATAGACATATAGATAGAACGATAGATAGATAGGTAGGTAGATCGACATAACAAATGTAGAGAAATAATTTTTACAAAACTAAAGAAGGATAAGATTCCAAATATCATAAAAGATAAATCACCATTTATACTTGTAGCACCTATAATGAAAGTGTCAATGACACTGTAGCTCACCTTGGGTGTGATAGAAGAGGGAGGGGGATATATAAAGCAAGAGTATATATATGGAAGAACTCCCATTATATACTCTTAATCATGATATATCAGGGGTAGAAAATAACTTTTGAACAAGGGAGTCCACAAAAAGGGGTTTCAAAATTAAAGATATTAACAATAACGCATGTGCTTATTTTTAAGATTCATGCAGTTGCACGTCTGCCAAATTTTCTTTGGACATTAGCTGAAAAAATACAGTAATTCCGCGAGGCCGTGCTCCGGAATGAACTAGTTAGTATGGCAGAATTTTCAGGGAGTCACACGGACTCCTGCAGATGTCAAATCAGGGAGTCCGACAGTAAATCAGGGAGTATTTGACTCCAGACTCCCGTTAATTTCGCACCCTGTATATGCATAAGTTTTCATGCGAAAACAAATGTTTCAGATCTGAAAGTCTGAAATCTTGACGAGAGATGGCGCTACGCCTAAATGATCGCCATTTTGGTTTTCGAATATCGCGCAAATAAAAACAATAAAATATTCCAGCCAAATTACTGTAACGAAGAATCTAAAACACAATATTACACGTATATAGGTATGATTGTAGAGTTGTTAACCAGTTAGACGAAATAAACGTAATAGGATGTTGTCATCTCTCCCATAGGAGTAACAACTGTTTTGGGGCTAGCCTTACACATTCACATACCAAAATTTAACAAAATCGAATGTATTTAGATGGCCATTTTCATGTTTGCCAAAAAGTGGGCGTGGCTCGAAAGTAGGTCGACTGGCGTACTCAAAAATAGGACGTTCAAATCTCTCCCATAGAAGTAACAACTGTATTCAATTTGAAACATGTGGGTCAAACGGTTCTTGAGTTATCGTTGAGCGTAGGCAGACACTGAAATGCATAGCGAAATAGCCACTGTGCCATTCACTGAGTCAGAATAAACACGTTTTAGTTCAAGGATGGAGAGCCGCCTGTTTTTGAATTGAGCAATACAAAGAAAAAGTCAAGGCAATGAATTTTTCTCAATGTGTAAAAACAAGAACCTCTAGATTAGAGAATCTGAATTTCTCATGGCTAAGACGACACGTAACAGTGCCCAATTCCCTAGTAATACTGATAGGGACGGTAAAACAAAACAAAAACTACTTCTGGCGGAGGGGGTCACTCTGACACTCAGCCAGGCTGAGCCACAGGTCCCTATATCCAACACGAACCCCCAATGCGAGCACCAAAGGTCTCACACCTTCGGTGCTCGCATTGGGAGATCGTGTTGGATATAGGGACCTGTGGGCTGAGCCAGCTGAGGTGAGCCTAGCTCTCGTACTATAGCCCGTGTATATAAGCCTCCTGCCGCAGGGCTATAAAACATTCTGGCACAGATTTCGTAACACCACCTGGACCCGATTGGTTCCACGAAAAATGGCTCAGAAAACGCAAAATGATCGGGCTTTTTAACACTTATTTATCCACATGGACATCTCACCTATCTTTTTGAACACTTTCCACCATGTATTTATGCCTTTAATAGCTTTATTCCTTACAAGTCAGCACTACTGGCTGTACCATTTGAAATATTGTGGCGTGCGAACGCGTGACGTCACTGGATGATGATAGGCAACACATGGCAGCTATCGTGCATGTATATCAATAACTCGATGACTGCACGCATCTCGGCACGCAACAATAGTTCAAATGGTACAGCCAGTAGTGCCGACTTGTGAGAAAATAAAGCTATTAAAAGCATTAATATACATGGTTGTAAAAGTTTAGATAAGTGTTCAAAAGATAGCGTGAGAATGTACCATCGTAGATAAATAAGCTGTTAAAAGCTCAATCATTTTGCGTTTTCTGAGCGCATTTTTCGTGGAACAGATCGGGACAGCGTCGTTGTTACGACAATAGTGTGCGAGAAATGTTCTACGTAGCCATGCGACAGTTTATGACGCGGGCTATGGCGATAGTTACTGGCTCATAGGGTCTATGTCGGCCCAGGGTAACTGCCGAACGTGACCCTAGGGTTAACAGTGCCGGTATAGCTGGAAGCGTACCTTGGTCACTATTTTGATATCGGTTAGGGTTAGGCTTCCAAGAAAGGTATTTGGCTAGGGTAGATACCTTTTTCCTCGCTTGGCTGCAAGCTAAACCGTGAGTTGCTTTTATATTCCAGAGTATCGCCAAAGAACACAACACAGTGTGATATAGCTACAATGAATCAGTAAACCTCCACCTCTTGCTACATCAGTGCGCTACGATGCGCTAGGGTACCTTCACGGGGCGTGTACAGCAACTTTTTAGACGAATGACCGAAGACATTTACGCAATGCGCCGCCGCATGTTTGTCCCTATCGTTGCGCGGACTTGGACTAAAAAATCCGCCAAGTGGACTCGAACAAGCAAAATAAACGTACATGCGGTCCTCATGTAAACCACCGCAACATCCGAGAACAGTGTCATGCTAAGGTTTTTACAAAATGGCCCAGACGATTTCTGAACATCGTTTCACTTGCTTTGGTGTGTAATGCTTTGAGAGCCCATCGTAACTATTCTGTAGTATTTTCTAGGAGTCTATTCCCGTTGCGGGTTTTCCGTGCCTTGCTTAAACATGGCGGTTAAGCTGATTTGAAAGTTTGATATGCTGTGAGATTAGAAGATTATACCGTGTAATTAAGAGAATACATTCTAGTTAGAAGGCAAGCAACTTGTGAGTTAACGTTCATATCTTAAACAAGGCAAGTCAAGGTCGGATAATGGCAATAGTTTTATTTGAGATATACAGAGTTATTCATCTAGATCTGGCAGAGGTGATAGGTTTTTTGTATGAAGGGTGTCAGGCTGTATCCGTCGCACAGCCTGGGTCGGGCTAGGTTAGGTTAGGGTTCGGGTTAGGCGGTTAGGTAGTAGGCCGTAGGCGACTCCCTAGCATCGTTAGTAGAGTAGGCGAGGTACGGTCCGGCATATTAGATAGTACCAGGGTACGTTCCGGTATACCGGACCGTACCCAGGGTACCAGGTACGTTCCGGCAGTACCCCGGGGGACATAGACCCTCTCACTCTCAGCTATAGTACTAGAGCTAAGATGAGCCTAACAGAAGCGTCGATATGAAAGCGGTCAGAAATCAGAAGATAGCCACCTGTCCTAGATGCTTTACTTTATCCTTGAGCTACCTATCACATTTCATCATTAACTTTTTAACATTCGAATTTCATAATATAACCAAACAAATGCCCGATATGAAAACTAGTATGGCGAATGAACGACGTTCTTTGTTTTGTTTTATGGCAAATTTTGTTGAATCATTGTCGATCACCATAGACTAAGAATAACTTAGAAGAGTTATTATTATTATTATTATTCCCTACCAGAATAAAGTTATTCTTAATCTATGATTTTACACAGAGGGAGACCATCTCCGTGGCTAAACTAGAGCTGATCATAGGCAGCACCATCCAGAACAAAAACTAGACTGGTGCTCGCTCCCACCTCGATTACTCGATGGTGATCGACCTAAGCCGATAGGTGCGACCGGGTACCAGTCTAAACAAAAACCAAGTGAGCATTTACAAGCTGTCTACTAAGCCTGCGACGTCACGTAGTCGTCTCCGGTCACGCACTGACGCAGTACAAAATCAGTTAGGTACATACATTATGTTAATATGCAATATTCGGTTATGGACTAGCATGTAATACATGATGTATTATATATAGCGACAAAAGCGAAAATATATAACATATTAATTATTATTCGTTTGTAACCGTGTTTCCCTGTAGCCGTAGGCCGCGTAGGGTCTATCACCTCTGTTTGACCTGGCTCGTTTAGCTATTTCTTCTGACTAACCCTAACCAGTAACCTTAACTCTAACCCTATATATATTATATTATATATATATATATTATATATTAGTCAGAAATAGCTAAACGAGCCAGGTCAAACACTGAAATAGAGGGCAGGGAGACATAGACCTTATCTGCAATACTATTACTAGTATATAGTAAAGCCAACACTGCCAACAGAGGTCAAGTTAAGTTCACATCTGATCTAAGTAGTAAGCCTAGTAAGACTAAAAGACTAAAAGCCTAGTAAGACTAAAGCTAGTAAGGCTCATAGGGTCTATGTCCCCCAGGGTACTACCGCGAACGTACCCTGGTCACTATTTGATATGGTTATGGTTAGGAGTTAGAATGTTAGGAGTGTAGCGTTAGGCACGACTGCCTAGACTCGCGTTAGACTGAAGTTAAGCCGAGGTCGGTCCGGGCTATTAGATAGTACGCGAGGGTACGTTCCGGTATACCGGACCGTACCCAGGGTACGTTCCGGCAGTACCCCGGGGGACATAGACCCTCTCAGCGCTAGTAATTGACAGTAAGTCTGGCCCCTGGGCACATTTTCCTAAGTTATTGTAGTTTTATAATACTATTTTATTAATAACTTTTTATTTCGCACTAATCGTAGTTAAATAAACTACGCGCTCGCTCTTTTTTTATTGTGAGCTAAAGAATCAAATATGAGCCCGATTATGAGGGAGACAATTAAATGGCATTTTCATGCTTACAAGTTACAAGTTCATACAAGTTACAGTTAGTGAGTTACATAACATTCAAAGAATTATAAAACAAGAGTCAAGAGTAGTTCTACTTTGTTGGGTTACATTATTGTATCTACTGCTAGAAAAGCGTCACCAGCTACTCCGTCATCCATGCAATAATTGCAAGTGACAGTTAAAAATGATGATATTAATTTTTCTCGTAATGCTAAAGTTTGTACAGCTATCTATATACATGATAATACTTCATCAGCATCCTATATTGTTAATGATTTGAAATTTAATTGATAAATATTGCAATTTAACTAATTCAGATAAGGAATATTTATAATTCGTGGTGAAACTTATAGTTAATTTTTCTAAAACATATTCAACACACGCAGTGATGGATGCTTTGCAATAAAAAAATATCAAGTTTGATCAAGATGATAGTTGATAGATAGATGAAGATAATAGTTTGATCATCTTGATCAAAATGATCAAGCATGATCAAGTTGAAAAATAAATTTTTTGACAAGCTTGGACAAATCCAGAAAATTGTGCATTCCTTAAATTAAACAAGTACTAATAATTATACTTCCATAACCATAGTCATAGAGAGCTGACAGCACACTGCATGATTTTATCAAGAGTAGTATAATTAATAACTTGCTAAAATATGAAACAAAAAGTAAAATTCAAGATAGAAGAAGATAGAAACATGATAAATAAGAGCACTATAGCTGTCACTGAATTTTTCTATAAAGGAACGATAGCAGGATTACATGCCACATGATAAAACAATCTATGATGGACAGGTATCGCTAACTAATGAGTGTTGCATTAGGAGGTTCAGAGCTATAAATAATGCTTTTATAATAAACTACTACAAAGTGGACATTGTGGCATGTATGTACAAACTAGGTCAGCTCATCCTACCTAGCAACAGCACCCAGGGGCATGGTTATCACGCAAAGAGGTTAATTAATTTTGCGCCCAAATTATCCATTAGCGTAATTTTTTGTAATGTTCATAATATGGCTGAGAGGGTCTCTGACCCCAGGGTACTGCCGGAACGTACCCTGGGTACGGGCCGGTATACAAGAACGTACCCTGGTACTATCTAATATGCCGGACCATACCTCGCCTATTCCACTAACGAGTTTTAGGAGTCGCCTACACCTACTCCCTATAACCATAACCCTAACCCTAATCATATCAAATAGTTACCAGGGTACGTTCCGGTATACCGGACCGTACTCAGGGTACGTTCCGGCAGTACCCTGGGGGACATAGACCCTATGAGCCATAATATGGGTCTATAACTTAGTAAACTAAAATAAAGCCACTTTATTTTTTAGTCCACAGGTATATAGCGTGCCCTACGACATGCATTCCGGTTACGAAATTCCAAGGTCAGTACTGCCACCAAAGAGACTTCGGCATATGAGTGATTCCTCTGACCTTGGATACAGTTCTGACACGGGAAGCTCTCTACCGAAGTGGCCCGACTTTATCTCGATCGAAGGCCACCTACACTGTCACGAATCGGCGTTGTTCCCAGAAGAGGTTGGCAGCGCAATAATCCACGTAGAAGAATGCATTGAAGATCTCCTCAATCCACTCGAGTCGCCTTCCATCGTGCCGTATTCGGAGGGGAGTGTTTCACGCCGGGAGCCGGGCATTGCCGACCTTTTCGATGAGAATCATGTGCCGACTCTTCAGCCGACCACCCCGGACAAGCATTCCTCGGCTTTCAGCATCGTTCCGCGAACGCCCAGCCCTCAAAATCACGAGAACATTCCCTCTGCAGGTGGCAATCCATTAACCATTGATCGTGACCCCACTGGGATATCAGCAACCAAAGTTCTACGAAGGCTGGATGAAAATATTGAAGCTGCAGAACCAGTAGCAGCACATCAGCAACAGAAGGCTGCACCTTGCCACCAGCCACAGTTATTATCTCATTCTTTGCATGAACACAAGAGTGTACCTATGCAGCAGCTTCCTATACCATCGTCTCTGCCAACAACATTCCAATCTCAGCCAACACCATTATCTTTCCTACCAACAAGCCCTCCATCTCCGCTGCCTGACTCCCCATCCCTGCCCTTCATCTCCAATTCTCAGCCCCCAGAAGCACCTGCACTGCCCAATTCCCCATCTCCCCGACTTTTCTCCCAGTCTCAACCACCACCATCATCTCTACTGCCCATTTCCCCATCTGTACCACGAATCTCCCAATCGCAACCCTCACTATCATCTTTGTTGTCTGCCTCCCCACCTGCACCCCGAATCTCCCAATCTCAACCCCCAGCATCGTTGCTACAATCTGCCTCCCCACCTGCACCCCGAATCTCCCAATCTCAACCCCCAGCATCGTTGCTACAATCTGCCTCCCCACCTGCACCCCAAATCTCCCAATCTCAACCCCCAGCATCGTTGCTACAATCTGCCTCCCCACCTGCACCCCGAATCTCCCAATCTCAACCCCCACCATCGTCGCTACAATCTGCCTCCCCATCTCTTGCACGATTCTCTCAATCTCAACCCCCACCATTCTCGTTACAATCTGCCTCCAGTTCTGCACCACAAATCTCTCAATCTCAACCCCCACCATCGTCGCTACAATCTGCCTCCCCACGAGTCACGCAACCCGAACTGCTTCCGCAATTGCCGGTTCTTGGCTCCCCGCCTCCGGCGACCGTCCCTGGCGGACGCCGGTCGCGTCGGCAGATATACCTCAGCATGGAAGACGCGCTCATCGACCAGTTTGGCTCGACGCTGTCGGGCGACGCCTTCCTCTTCTACGGACTGCAGGACGATGACGACGTCGACTCGTCGCAGGAGGTGCCCATGTGGGAGGAGGAGAGCGACGAGGCGCGCAGCAGCTCGGAGGAAAGCGAGGACGCGCGCGTGCCTGGGGGGTCGCGACCCGCCGGGTCGTGCGCGCGCGCGAATTACGAGCACGTGGTTCCGGGATGGGACAGAGAGGAGTGAGATGCGCGTGCACTTTTTTGCGTGTAGCGTGAGCAGAGTGTTAGCGTGGTTACTTTCTGAGGTGGAGAAGAGGACATGTGTGGTAATGAGCTGCAGTTGAGAACCACGTTAGATGGCGGCTGTTATATGAGACAGATATAGGAGTGGAATAAAAGGAAGATTCAGTACCTTTCAAAGACAGATACATTTTTTATTTGGTCATCATCGTCAACAGACAGTCTTGCTGTGAAAGACATAATTCCTTAATACGTTGGCAGAAACGTCGTGCATTAACTGATGACCAAATGTAAATGTTTCTGTCACCTAAAGACATGGTTCGTCCGACATGAGATGGCATTTAGAGACGGACCTTAGTAGTGATGGAGACAAAGTAACATGTTGCTGCCGTGAACACTTTACAAAGGTAGACAACTTCAGCAGTTATATCTGATTTGAAGGCTGGTTTTATCGGATGGACTAGGTTTTCTCTACTCTCATACACCTGTGAAAACTGCCAAGTTTTATATTATCACAGTGCCCACACATATTTAATAATAATAGGGCACTTTTTTCAATTGTAACTTATGAAGCTGCTCAACACAAAATTAAACTATAGTTAATATGATCCAAGTAGACAAATGTAGACATTTTTTCCGCAGTTAGAAACTTTTTAAATTAATATTGATGTTAAGTTTATTGTTCGTCGTTGTGTTCAATAATTTAACGAAAAGCGTTAAGATGACTAATTGGAATAGCGGCACAATGCTGTCGATACGCAAAAATTTAATGTTATGATGTTAATATTGTTCATGAAGTGTGCTGTTTTTAATATGCTCTTATTTGATACTTTTATTGTGAAAATGATTATATGTTGATTAGGGATATTTGCATAGAAGTAATATAATGGAATAATTTTTGTAAGAATGATAGTTACGATGACAATTAACATGGATGATCTGTTCAAGGTTAAGAAAAGTCGACGTTACTTTCCTACTTGTGTTTAGACCACTATTTATAGTGTAAGATATAAATAATTGTTTGTTTAATTATAGTGTCCAATTTTTGCTATTTAAAATAAATTTGTGCTTGACACACATTTTTATTATATTATTAATCTGAAATGAAAGCAATGAACCTCACAGCAGACTAAAAGTGAGCACTAGCGTTTAGGTGAGATTTGATTTATTTATATGCAAACGACTACAAGTGTAAAATGTGTAGAAAGTTGTTTACAGCTGCACATGACAACACGCTGAAGTTTCTAGCATGAACGCTAGAGATCTTTATAGAACAATATTGCTTGGATTTTTCATAAAACAACTATACAACATATAGAATAATAATGCATAAAAAATATAAATAATAACAGATGAGAACACGTAAAATAATCTATGACTGACACAGATGACTATTCAACAGCTGCTTGAATTACTTCATCCATCAACAAATTGTTATGTTGATAGTCACAATGTAGAGATAAACAAACGAACACTAATACAAACTACACGCAAATATAAAGCACCGCTTTCACACCAGTTATGTCGATACACCCAACGTTATTTGGTTCGACCTGCACGGACGCTCAAACATGCATAGGGGTATGTTTAAGGGGTATTTTACCACAATATGTATAAGTTTTTGAAACAAACTATTGCTTCGGTAGAATTACAATGTAATAAAAACACGAGAAATTAAAACAACACAGGATACAACCCTATAGTAGATAGGTACTAACGCTCATAGGGTCTATGTCCCCCAGGGTACTGCCGGAATGTACCCTGGGTACGGTCCGGTATACCGGAACGTACCCTGGTCACTATTTGATATGGTTAGGGTTAGGATTAGGGTTAGGGAGCAGGCGTAGGCGACTCCCTAGACTCGTTAGTGGAGTAGGCGAGGTACGGTCCGGCATATTAGATAGTACCAGGGTACGTTCCGGCAGTACCCTGGGGGACATAGACCCTCTCAGCGGTACTAACCCCAGTAAGTTAGCAACACAAACTAGTCAGCATCTTGCTAGGTGCATAACTACCCTGTTGACCATGAACACATGCACGCACGGTGCAGTGATTAAGTTATAATGTAGAGCTTGTCGTGCATATACATGCGTATATCATATGAAATGCCACAGTGCGTTATCACAATATGTAGATTGAATATGGTGATGTAAAAACATTTATATAACTACCGGTAAGTAGTATGGTGACAAACTGACAATGAGTACTGGTATGTCTAAATCTATATATAAATGTCTACCTAATATAAGTGCAACAATAGATATATACAAACACGTGTTTGTATATATCCATGTTGTAACCAAATCAAAAAAGATCTGCACGAAAACATGCAAATTATGAAGCTTTCAAATAAAAACTGGAGTAACAAATGGACTCAAATGTAAAGAGTATATGGTGCATAACCGATAAGCTACGCTCATACTAACTGCAGTAATTACATCATTGAAACAGAAAACTGCATCATGTTACACAAACATGAATAATTCTTGTTAGCATTAATGTACCTTGTTGATGGAAGGGCAGCTTTCAGCAAACATGCATACCAGTCATCATTCCAAAATTATGAAAGTCATGTTTCTTAACAATGATTTTACATTATAGACACTGGGCATAGAACAATCATATCTCCTGATCATATCACTGCTCCTTCTCTATGGCCCTCGTGTATTGGTCCTTATGAATAAAGAAGTAGCAAAAGTTTCACAATGTACCATACTTCTGTATGTGCCTCAAATAGGCTAATCGGTCCTCATAACTACAGAAGATAAAAAGTTATATTAAGTACCTCGCATTATCACATCATTTGCATACCAATTCATTTAAATTGACTACGTCACGAATTTTCTATGGTGTATATTTGTAAAAAAAAATTGCCATTTTTTTACATTAAAAGTAAGTGCTAACGGGACTAAACGTATCGTCAAATTGTTACGCGATAAGATTGTTTCTCAACTAGTTAAAAATCCAAAAAACCTGACCGATTTGATAAATATGATCCTGACATTAATTGCTTGCTATGGGCTATGTCTGAGTCACGAGTGTATTTTTACATAGAACAATATAGTAAACTAGGACGTATAATGCAGCAATTTAACCATAAAAAATGAACAAACCAAAACTTACATTTTGTGAAAAAGTGGAAATATTTTCCCTACTTTTACTATTTACGGTGACGTAATCACTTTAAATTCTTCATTTTAAATGGGCCAACATAGCAGCTGGTGATACATAAGATCTTGGGTTCGATATAACTATGTACATTTTACAAAAGAGAAAATAGATTGCTAACCTATACTAACTATAATACTATACAAATACTACTACAATTACTAAGAAAACGTTATTCCTGTTGGCATACCCAGAGTAACATTTTCAGAATGTATTGTAAGCCCAAATAAGCAAGTGTGAGTAATACTTAAAATCAACTCAAATGACAATTTAATCTGCTATATAGAACTGTCAATAGCGATAACTACTAAATTCTGAGGATATGCGATACTTGTATGTCGTAAGACGTTATAGTAATGTGCGCTGACGGTGTTTCACCTGGGAGCTCACACTCACCTGCCGAGAACCAGACTGTATGAATTTTAATGAAATGAAACTTTTAGTAGTGTATCTCTGTTTATGCCAAGGACGACCTAGAATCTGGAATGGGTACAGAATATCACATGAAATTGCATAAATATGAGGTATAAAATACGTTTTGATCAGTTATTTGCTATTGCCTGCAAAGTATTTTCTATACAATGCTGAAAATAAATTGTACTAACACAAACAACTGTAAATAAATCCCATAAAATGTCTGTATTAAAACAAATTTATCATCTGCAGTGACATAATTTACTGGCTAGACTTAGTACACATGCTCTGCACAAATCATAACGAAATAAGAATCTTAATTGAGTATTAATTGCCCAGCTCAATATGACGAGTGTAGTATATAACTACTGTGTAGTGTATCCATTGTGTGTACATATTTCATCCATTAATTAAAACAAGTGCAAGCTATAAACTACTTGTTTATAAGCCTGCGCACTGTAAAACCCAGGGCGCGGAATACTCGTGCTAGAACTTACTCAACACAACAACCTAATCGTGTGCAGGTGGTTGTATTCAATCATATATTAACTAGTAACTAGACCTAGCTCTGAAGCAATCAGCCATCCTCCATGTGTGAAGCCATGTTGACAGTTGAACCGGTTACAGCTGGCGACGGCAAAGAATCACCACCAGTCAAGTCCTCACTTTGTGCTGGCCGCAACTTTGGCACTTTCTTCTTCTTTCGCTTGTGACGCTTCGACTGCTCCTGGTGAAAATCTATAGGCGGCAGCTGCTGCTTTTTCCCAGCTACCGAGGCCATCTTTGCTTGGTCTCTCTAAATGTAGAGTCAACGTGATTATCTTAGTGTCACACCCTATTTTTGCACATGCATGCACGCATGCATGCCTGCAGTCAGATGCAGACACACAGGCATGCGCACGTGCAGTTGCGAAAATTTTCATGACATACGGCTAGTAATGTCCGGACGATTGATTATAATCAAAGATCGACCATGTGCAGCAATTGATTAGATAATCAATTGGGAAAACAAATAATCGATCATAGAAACACAGCCAAATTGCAAAAACGTTGGCCATTCTGTAAAAAATGTTTAGTGTATTCACATAGTGCATAGTGAATAAAAAATCATAATGATGAATCAACTCTTTTTGACATTTGTCTGGTTATTCTGTTGCTGTATAGCTCGAGGATGTTAAATAACACACGTTGTACACAACAATTGTTTTATTATCACCGAAAAAATAGATCAATATGCAATAGTGGTGTTCCGATTAATCGAGTTCGTTGATCATTACTCGTTTGGGCTGCCGAGTTGATTAATCGAGTAGAAAATCGGACAACCGAGTACAACTTTTTTTTATTAAATTTGATGAGCAGTTATGTTGCAATGCCCTTTAGAGTGTTACCCGTCTGTAACACTAATAGTATCCTTAATTTAATTACCATTAAATACTAGCTACACATACAATAAATAATGTCAATATTCCTTCGCAATACACCGGTTGTGTCGACGATGACACGGCGTCACCGCGTCGCCGCCGCATCGATCATCGGTCGTTTTGTAAAACCGATGATCGATCATGAAATTTGGACCGATCTCCAACACTAATATGCAATAACCTAATACTACCTAGTATCAATGACTGACATGATTCACCGATTATCTTTGTCGATCAGTGCAGTGAAACTAGTGATCATGATTTATTATAAAATACCAAGTGATTCCGGTGGTGGAAATGTAGTGAAGTGGACTCTGCCAAAATTCACAAGCAGCATTACCAGTGTTGGGGATAGCAGCCTCCCCCCCCCCTTCTGATACTGGTATCATCTGAGTGGGACGACCAAATTTTTATGGAGTTCACTATAGGTTACATGGATGAAACCAAAATGTTCGAAATCAAAATGAGCTGGGTTATCATACTTATTATCAAGACTGCCAAGTTCCCATCACTACGCGCAGCTGCGACTGGGGCAAAGCCTCGCTCCGCGAGTCACCAACATCGTACCTTCTCGTCCATCAAGCTGGCGCCGCCGCGGCCGATGGCGGACACGGAGGCTGCGGGTCTCCTCATCCTCCACAGCTTCCCCTTCACGTTCTCGTTACTCAGGTAGTTGACGCATCCCGCTCGCGCCGCGGGGTCGGCCACCGGCAGCACGCGGCGGAATCGCTTGTGACGCACGACGAAGACGACGACGATGGCGGCGACGAGGACGAGGAAGAGGCTGACGAATGCGGCGGCGACGTATATCGCCTTCCTGCTGTCTGCGTGCGAGAGAGGAAGCTCTCATCATTATAGGGTTCTCCCCTCGAGATTCTCGAAAGGCGTGTCGGGCAATGGAGCGATTCGCCCCCCAACGGTTAAGTGGAGCTAATGACACGTATCGTAGGCGGTGCCAGCTACCTGGGTAAACTCAATCAGTTTGGGGACGTACACACCGAAACTTTGAAAACATAGTAACGAGTGTTAGGATGGTCAAAAGTTAAAGGGAGAGTTTACTCTAGGTTCTAGGGTTATTTTCAGCTAATTTAGGTTATAATTACGCTACATAAAAAGTTTCATGGTTTAATCACCATTAGAAATATTTTTTAAAAATGTTTTAAAACTAACGACTACAGTTTGATTACAACGACGGTGGCGCCACTCAAAGCGCACGATCTGATGTTGCGCAAAACCACTTTCCAGCCAAGGGCTACAGACCGAGGGTGTTTCTTATTTATTAATTTAAAAGCAAAAAGATTGTAATATCTTATAAACGACATATAGTTTCACTTATAATATGGATAAATTTGCCCTAAAATGAATATCGTTCGGTTAAATAGCATTTAGGTATAAATATAATTGCACTTTTGTGATTAGCCCTCGGTCTGTAACATGCAAAATAAATTTTCAAATACGCAACTTTTTCGGGGTGGCAGCACGGTCGCGGGTGTCATGGCGCCGTTCAAATTTCGTAGCGTTGATGCGTAATTAATTATAACAATAAAATTAGGTATCTGGTAACAAATACGTGTGGGTATAGACGATTTGTTATACAGTAAGTACAGTTGTATGCAGTAAAATCCTAGATGCTACTGTCCCTTTAATACAGCTGGAAATTACGGCACGTCGATTGGGCAGTTAAAGGCATATCGAAGGATTTATTGGCTGTCGCAAACCAGCCTCAGCTTTAAAGGCATGTTGGACCCGACATGTATTAAAGGCCTGCAGAGACCCATGGACAACTAGGCTGTCAAAAAGAGGGCAACAGGGTCAACAGTGTTTGTACTACACCAATGAACGTCAATTGTTAGAAATAGCAGCCCGTCCCCTAGTTCAGGACTGGTAACTTTTGAGCAGGCCTAGCTAATTTCCATGGGTTTCACCACAGGTCATACAGTCAAAATAAAAATTATTGAAATTAAGGCTGGTTGGGTTTTGGAACTCATTAACAATACTGGAAAGACGTTTCGGTAATCGTTGATAAGAGTAGATCTGTTCATTGGTACAATGATAGCACCTAGCAACCCACTGCAAAAACTCTAGTTCAGTATAGACGCCACAACAACCCACACAATGCCATTGCACGTTCATGATATAACTATCAAGGTCTGTCACAGCATACACAGATAATAATTACCTGCTATGGGAGTACTTGTGTTTGGAATGATTGTTGCCGATTCATTTTGATAAGCACTGCTCAGCGCACTCAGTAAACTGCCGTTGTCTTCCATTATTCGACGCAGGCCGCTCGGTGTGCTCAACAAATGATTCCTGTTCACATCCCCCGGAAACAGACACTTCCACATTTCCTCGTAGGTGGAGTTACGATCACAGAACAATGGCTCCCTCTGGCAGGTAGTCTTCTGAAAACAACTGAGCACCACAGTGCAGCTAATGTCCTTTGCAGGCCAGAGAAATGTTGGGATGGGTGGAAGACCAAACCTCAAAATGTCTGGTGGACCCTGCATTTTCTTTATGGCACCTAGAAATAAATAAAAAGGAGCATGAACATTAATCTATGTACAAATCAGAACTATTAGCATGCTAAGTGAAGTATCGAGTTTTTCACTGAAGCTTATCAACCATCAAATTTAAATCGCCAAACCACCCCTGTCTGATGTAATATATATGTGCTTGTTTTCAGAAGTAATGGGAGTACATTGCATTCTAGGTTCAAGCACTCCTTGCTTCCGAGCTACATACCGAGCCTCGCCACTCAAATACAAGCCTCGCCAGCATGATTTGTGCAGTAACGACATCACATACACCAGGATACACGACTAGATTCTCTTTCCAAACAATAGTGTAGTGTGGTTAGGGAGTTTCAAATAATAAGCAAGCAATTAATTGCTCCCATTTACATTGCTGTGGAGTGGGAGTTTTCCACATGAAATTCTCTACGCCGAACTTAATTGCAAAAGTGATAATTTCAAAGAAGGAAAAATTCAGCTATGGACAAATATGAAAGCAGTTGTTTGGGTATTTTTGCTGTGATAGAGTAAAACGAATAAAGCGTTGTGCGAATTTGACACACACGCTTTCTCACTTGGTCTATCTTTTTGTGAGTTCGTGCAGTGCCAGTGGCGTGCGTGCCGTGATATTATAACCTCGTAAATATTACTAATAATATTATTAGTCTTCAAAGAAACAGAAAGAAACAAAGTTGATCAAATAGACAGATCAACACCTCACGGAAGTCTTCAGATCGCAGTAGAAAAAGCATCAAATTTGCAATTTACTAAAGAGGAAGGGGAAAGAATTCCAATACGGAATGACTGAAACGAAGAAGGTAAACTTAAAGGATGGCACGTGTCAAACTCAAAGGCAATGGGCAGATCATGCTCAGATGATAGAGAATGATCACGATGATGATCGTGTTACAGAGAAGCGTTGAAATGGCATTTAGGCCACCATTTTTTATTTTGTTGGTTTACAGAATTTTTGTTGTTGTTGTAAGGGTAAAAAAAAAAAATGTTGTTTTGTCAGATCAAACAAGTCAAAATACAGTGATACTATTTGTTTATGAAATGTTTTTTTTTACATTTACATTTTTTTTATTCATATTTCTTAGAGAAAAGGTCGGCGGGAATAAAAAAATACAGATTTTCAATTTTTATTTTTTTTCGTTTTTCTTGAAAATTCGGGTCGGCGGATCTGTAAACCAACAAAATTAAAAATTCTCGCCTTAGAGGGAATTATTATTACTAATGAAATAATGCAGGGTTCTCCCTATGTTGCGCAAACGGGGCGCGCGCGCCTCGTTTGGGAAAACTCCCCCTTGTTTGAATCG